ACAGCTTTACCGAACGATCGGCAGCCCAAGGCCATTTGGAGGCCGACAGGCCGACCCGCGTCCAGGAGTTCAACCGGACCGGCGTGCTGCACCCCGAGTACCAGATACCGGCGACCATCAGACCCGGCAACGTGTCTCAGTGAGTGTTCAGTAGACTGCTAAATATGATTACGTCGTTATTGCAAGGCTTCTCCTTCTCGTGACCGATTGGGAAATTTAGATTTGGATTTAACTTAGATAGAATATGATATAGTGAGAAAAATCCAATATCGCACTATGTTTTATTGGTTGCGGTGTTGGAAATCTCTCTTCGTTTAATTATCCGAGAGAAAACCGCTGGTATGTTTAGTATGTTTAGGATAATTGATGGCACTGTCGGCAATTTAGACTCGCTTAAATGCCTGATTGTTTAAATATCACACGATCTTTGTTAGAAATTCGATAGGTATTTCTTTGATCTTTAGAAGAATCGAGTTTGAAAGAATTAGTTGAAAATTAATTTCTCATTGATTGAAAATTTTAACCATTATTATAAATGATTCTTTGATTTACCTCTTTAATTTTGTTTTTCTTTCGTAAATTAATTTTTATAAACTTATAAAGTGTTATCTAAACTATAGGATTCATAATTTTTAAAATTAATTATTTTAACTTTCTTATTTTTCTTGAAAAATTATTTCATGTTTCAAAATTTAATTTTTCCAATTTATTTTTATATTTAATTTGTTTTTATAACTACTTCCGCTGATTTGTTTAGAATACATTTGATTTATCAATTGCCGATTAAAAGTAATCAACATCGAAAATTAACAAGTTTCTTTTTTTTTTTGCTTCAACGGTTGCACTTTTACGACAAGATCTAACATAATAATCGTGTTTGTCAATTTCACATAAATTTTAAGCAAAATTAGCGCGCGCAAATTACAGCCGTGCAAACTGCGCGCATATGCCTTTAGTCGACGAGAAATATTTAAGCAACTATTTTTGCATGCGTAAATTGTTTGCCCTATACGCACAGTGGAACCGCGAACGTTTACAAAACGTCACGCACCCCGTCCCGCGCTTCGTCAACTACGAGCGTACGTTCGTGCACGTAATTCGACGCACATTTTGCATACGCACGAGTCAATTCGATATACTCGACCTATATTGCGAATACAGCATCCGGTGGACCACAACCGATACTGTTGTTCGTCACATTCATAACGGATACAGCAGCATATACGCGAGACATTACGCGGGAAGAACAGGCGAAGGTCGGTCGCGTCATAAAAATCACGTTGCCTGTTACTATTTCCACGAAATTCCACGAGGAAAACTTTTTTTATAAACTTCCTACGATAATGATAATCCATGGGCATTAAACGACGACTCGCCATAACTGTTCTAATCATAGCCAATGAATAAGACAGACGGCGGGTAGATAAAACGTTGATTAAAGGATAATAGATCGAATAACTTGTTAGACTAGTTAGACTCGTTTGATTAATTTTCAGTTGTTTTAATTTATTATGTTTTACGACCTCTCGATCGTCAAAGAGAGAAGGGCATATCATTTATTTGCTTACGTAACCAGGTAGTTGTCTCAAGTTTCCCGACGATAAGGGAAGATGAAGGCCGCGCACTGCTGACTGTTGCATGCGCGATGGAGGCGGATGATAAAATTTGGTCGCTTCATTATTCTCCCTGTTTTCCTTTACCCCTTATAATGTGCATCCGCATCTAATGGTCCGATCCGTCGCGACGCCACGCGTCATAAAGTCCTCCTATCGGATGGTTTCCGCGAAACTCCGACTGAAGTCGAAATACAGAATTACCCGTTTCTCTCGAACTTACAAATTTTCGATTTTGCGAAGAAAACGGATATTTTTGTATACTCGATTTGCTGCTTACAACACGTAAAAATAATGAACAGCGTCTTTGATTCAGTACGTTCCCACTTGTCGAAGAGTTCTGATGAATGACGCTCGCGCAAGACAAAGATGCATTTCGCCTCTTTTGTAAAGTCGTTCTTGAGTTAGACAGAAGTTTAGAGAGAGAGAGAGAGAGAGAGAGAGAGAGAGAGAAGAAGAGCGAACAACGAATGCTCTTACACATGTTGTTTCGAAAAAATTATAAAATTTCCTGTGTTTGGTTGGAATGTAAATTACGAATGAATCTTCATATACAATGGATTTTTTTTCTTATAACGAAGCAGAATTACATCCATTGAAATTTGGAATGGTCATTAATTGGTATCACTTCCTCATATTTTGCATATTTTCATGCGTGCTATATAAAGATCGCATTTCTTACATTGCTCCGAGTTCTATTATTAAATAATCACATCTTTTACATCTATTTTCTTCGAAAATAGTGATAATGAATTTTATATCTTCTATTTATATAAAACAATATCTCTGAAAGTGAATTTGAAAAAAAATTTCAAGCCTTTCTTTTGTATTTTCTAAGAAAAATCTTTATTTTTAATTGTTTATAATCTGTGAACATTATTGCCTTTTAATTGGAGGACAACAAAATTGACTTAAAATTATTTGTTATACTGCAAATTTATAAATTTTCCTCATAAAACAATTTAATGATCGAAAGGTTTAAACAATACCAATGTAAATTTTTGGACTCCATCGTCCATGTCGATATTATCATCGTTCTTCAGTCGCACCTTCCGCGGGATCCTTCCGTCGCGCATCATCAGGATGAAGAGGACGAGTGACGCCACGCGCCGCGCAAAAGCACCCTACCTATCTCGGTCGCGACTTTCCACGAAACTTGCGGCAGACTCGCGACAAAAGAGAGAAAGAGAACAGACCGTCTAACAGAATCAATTCGGGGTTCTCCCGCCTCACTCTTTCTCTCTTTTTCTTTCCTCTTCGTGTTCAGGATGACTCCACGGATGCCGGATTTAGACCACGGGGGTCGTAGCTGTGCGACCCCAGACGCCGCGACGCCGGCATTGTGCCCCGACGCTAATTTTACAATAGCTGTCTCACCGCCAGACGCGAACGAGAGGAGCACGTGTGGCGACTGCAACGGCGGCGGCGTCTCGATGTTCCTCGCAAACGACGACAATGACGGCGACGACGACGACGACGACGACGACGGCGGTGGCGGCGGCGGCGGAGGCGGAGGCGGCGGCGGTGAGCTAACGGGTTGAGCCGCTCGCGTTGTTAATGCAAAACAGAGAAAAAAAGAGTGTCCCTAACGACGTAAGGAAAAACATGGGGAAAAATGGGGGCGGTATAGGGTTAGTAGCACCAGTCAAAATGTAAAGTTAATCAGTGCAAAGAGAGAGAGAGAGAGAGAGAGAGAGAGAGAGAGAGAGAGAGAAGAAGTAAA